CCTTGCTGGCGTGTGAGATGAGTGCAATTGTCCGGTAGTTGGAGCATTCTTTGGCACTGCCCTTCTTTGGTATTGGGATGTAGACTGATCTTTTCCAGTCCTCTGGCCACTGTTGAGTTTTCCAAACTTGTTGGCATATTGAATGTAGCACCTTAACAGCATCATCCTTTAAGATTTTAAATAGTTCAACTGGAATGCCATCACCTCCACTGGCCTTGTTGTTAGCCAGGCTTTCTAAGGCCCACTTGACCTCACTCTCCAGGATGTCTGGTTCTAGGTCAGCAACTATATTGTCTGGGTAAGCAACTTAGCGAAATAGAAATCCTTTTTTTGCCAAAAGGGACTAAGCGATTCTCTTAACTGAAAATCACAGATATAAGAGGGAAATCGCTTATGTCACCTAGAGCTCCTCCTTATAAAGTGGCTGAAATCCAACGGTGTCTAGGCTAATGACATCACTGGTCAATTTTCAGAAATCAAAAATTTCCAGTCCCCCTCTTCAAAGCTTTTAAAGATTCCTCGGGATCCCTTGGATTGTGGGGAAGCCATTGGGAACCACTGTTGCCAGTAAACTTGTCCCAGTGGTTTTCAGTAATTAAAGACTTCTGCCTGCAGTCTTGCGGACCCCCAATAATTCCCTGGCAATGAAAGGGATCCCAAGGAAACCTCATTACCAGTGGGGATAAGATGTTGGAAATTCTTAATTTGCCAAATGAAGAAGAAGAAGTCATAGCTGATGACATCATCAGCCTTGCCTGATGCGCATTATGCTGCTGGATTTCAGCCAGAGTATAACAGAAGAATGAAGAGTGCTGTGATTACATGGAGGATGGCTTCAACTGGGAATTTATGTTTTTTCTTCTGAAACCTACGCCCAAACACACTGTAACCAAGAGAAACCCCATTACTTTGGCTCACAACCAAGAAAATCCTACTAATGCCATTTCCTAGAGATAAAAATTGTGGTTGTCTGTCTTCAAGACTTCTTTAGATGGGGCAAGATTGAATCTGGATCTTTTGATAGATCTCTGGATGGTCTGCAGTACATCAGGATGAAACCCAAGACCTTATTAGGTCTGTCAGATTAGCAGCATCCCATGTCGTAAGACTTCAGGGTCAGAGCTTCAGATCCAGAGAATGAATTTCAAAATCTGTGTCTCGGGGTCAAAGCTTTGAATCTGGTAAATTCCCTACATGCATTGTTCCACAGGAGAAAATGGTGAGTAATCCAGCCCCTTGTGACTAGTTACTTTGGGGTAGTGAGTAATGTAGTTAAGTTGCATTACTTTTAGTTGCAAGGAGTAACACCCAAGTTACTCTGATTAGCTGCAGTTAGCCACAGCATGCTATACACAGTGTACCCAAACACCATTAAGATGCTGCCTAATATATTTGAGGAAAAACACACACACACACACACACAGAGGTCAAAAGCCTGTTATGTAGTTATTCCAGGAAAGGGTTGAAACCTGCAGTGGCAAATTGCTGCTAATTTATAGGTAGCTGGTTAGATTCCAGGTTCAGCACCACTGGTGTACAATGAGAAATCTAACTGGCTTTTTATTAGTGGCAATTTGCTGCTGCAAGTTGTGCCTTTTCTTTTCTACTGGCATAGCTACACAATGGATTTCTGGCTGTATTTTTATTATATACTGTATAGGTTGTTTTCTGGAAGTCAGATGGATATGTGTGTGTGTGTGTACACACACACACACATTATATACTGTATGGCAGTCAGATGGACATGTGTGTGTACACACACACACATACACATAAAGGTTCCATTCAAGAGCTGTAAAATGTCTGGCTATTTTCTCCTTGCTGTTTCATAACGTTTCATTATTTTGTTTAATAAGTTCATCTTGAGAATTTTTTCCTTGTTGCCTTATATTATTAAAAGTAATAAGTTTCTCAGGACTGGGGATTCCCCAACAGAAAAACCAATTTGTGTGTGTCCTTCAATAATGACAGGAAAAGATTATTTCCCATTATGCTGCATACTTTCCGTATCACCACCGCAGCTTATCGTTCAGTAAATGTTAGCCTTGTGCCAGCTTCTATTCTTGGAAGAAGTTTAATTTCTACATTAACCTGTTTTTACTAGCCAACGCCTTGCTAGAAAAGCATCTGTAAGGCAGCCAAATAGGTTTGCTAAGGAAACCGTTTAGAAATCTCTTTTCAGAGATAAAATTGTCTGCATGAAATAGAAGTATATGAACTCAGTTTACATCTAATTTCTTTATTATTATGAAGTCCTGAACATCTGCATGAACTACAGGCTTTCAGCTAACAGGATTTTATACAAATCTCTGTCAAATAAGTTCTGTTTGTCAAATAAGTTCTGTTTAAATGAAGAATAAACTAAATGGCTATCGTAAATTAAATGGTTATCATATGGACATTCAAAATCTGAGGGAACATGAAGAACCCAAAGTGTGCAGGTTTGTAGTTTTATACTGCAGTTCCCAGAATTACAGACAAGGGCATTTTGGGAGCTTTACTCCTCTAATATTTTCAATTTTTTTTTTTGTTCCATCTCCAAACTGCCTGTCTGCATTGACCAGAGCATGCCAGGCCCTCCTATCTTCCACTGCCTCCCAGAATTAGATCAAATTCATGTTGGTGGCTTCAATGACACTGTTGTTCTCTGTCATCCCATTCTCCTCTTGCCCTCACGCTTTCCCAACATCAGGGTCTTTTCCAGGGAGTCTTCTATTCTCATGAGATAGCTAAAGTATTGGAGCCTCAGCTTCAGGATCTGTCCTTCCAGTGAGCACTCGGGGTTGATTTGCTTCAGAATGGGTAGGTTTGATCTCCTTGCTGTCCAGGGGACTCTCAAGAGTCAGCACCACAATTCAAAAGCATCAATTCTTTGGCGGTCAGCCTTCATTATGGTCCAGCTCTGACTTCCATACATCGCTCCTGGAAAAACCATAGTTTTGACTTTGCGGACCTTTGTCGGCAAGTGATGTCTCTGCTTTTTAAGATGCTGTCGAGGTTTGTCATCGCTTTCCTCCCAAGAAGCAGGTGTCTTTTAATTTTGTTGCTGCTGTCACCATCTGCAGTGATCATGGAGCCCAAGAAAGTAAAATCTGTCACTGCCTCCATATCTTCCCCTTCTATTTGCCGGGAGGTGATGGGACCAGTGTCCATGAGCTTTGTTTTGTTGATGTTGAGCTTCAGACCATTTTTTGCACTCTCCTATTTCACCCTCATTAAGAGGTTCTTTAATTCCTCCTCACTTTCTGCCGTCAGAGTGGCATCATCTGCATATCGGAGGTTGTTGATATTTCTTCTGGCAATCTTAATTCCAGTTTAGGATTCCTCCAGTCCGGCCTTTTGCATGATGTATTCTACATATAGGTTAAATAAGCCGGGGGACAATATACAGCCTTGTCATACTCCTTTCCCAATTTTCTGGGTCTGAAGGGTCGGACACGACTTAAGGACTAAACAACAACCAACTTCCACCCAAATAGAGTTCCAAGGAAGCTGACAGGGCAGGTAGATCATGACAAATTTTGATTTCAGCATAAAAACAGATCTAAAAAGACACCATCAAAAAGGAACAGCGACAACCAAATAGATGTCCCCCCGCCTGCTAAACAACACAGCTTCTATGCCAGAGTCCCGTTAAGTCTTCTGTTCTTAAACATATTCTGTGGAAAAACATTGTGCCCAATACAATTCTGCCTGTAATCATTGCTCACCCAGTGCAACTGCCTGTAATTTTGTGGAGATCTCCTTCATTAAACTTCTCCATAATTTTTCCTGCTCTCTCAAATGACATTGGGGTTATTGACATCTAGTTATACCTCCCTATAACTAGAGAGCCAGTGTGGTGTAGTACTGTAGTGGATCAAGTGTTAGGCCAAGACTCAGGACACTTGGCTTTTAGCTCTCTGCACAATGGTAAAACTGGTCTACTGCAGCCAAAACTGCTCATGACCTGGGTTCAACCCTAGTTAGCCAGCTCAAGGTTCACTCAACCTTCTATCCTTCTGAGATTAGTAAAGTGAGTACCCAGCTTGCTGGATGGGAGCAGCGGCAGTGTGTTGCCTGCATAATTAAATGGTAAACCACCCAGAGAATGCTTTAAGTGTTATGGGCATGTATATGTTGCACATTTTGTTTGTTTTTTTAACCATCATCCTGGCTCTTTTAGATTATTTCTTTGGAACTTACCCCCTTTTCCTCCTTAAATCAAGGTTGGGTTTAAGCCTGCTGGAGGCATCCGCACAGCCAAAGACGCCCTGACGTGGCTTTCGTTGATGAAAGAAGAACTAGGGGACGAGTGGCTAAAACCGGAACTCTTCCGCCTGGGCGCCAGCACATTGCTGGCAGATATCGAGAGACAGGTTAAGGTTTTACTGATTCTATTTTTAAAGACAAATACTCTCCAACGGAGACTTTTTAAAAAACTTTCCAGTTTTGAACTTCAGTTTCTTTACATGGCTCTTGGAATAACTTTTAATTGCTGATGTTAACCAATTCGTTTTTCTTGGTCTTCTCTTTCCTGGGGAAGGGGGAAACCTGCATAGAAACAATATGTTCATTTTGTGGTATATTAACCATCATGCAGCAATAACTCAGCAGCAGTATGCATGCTGTGTGTTTGCAATGCCACAAAGTTCAGCCTCCACCATCTGTTTTTCCCCCCCTTTATCCTAAGTTCCTCTTCATATTCTGGAGTCTTTTCGCATCTCCCCCCCCCCTTTAAAAAGAATAGATGGATTTTAATGGAAAGGGGCTATATTTCAATACATCTTTTTTTTTTACTGGGGATGGGCAATTTCGTAGAATCTGGAGGAAATTTTTACAAGCAACCCCAAACCCCCAAATTAAAAGTTATCCCCCCCCCAAAAAAAACAAACCCAAAAAACAGAGTGTTGTTGAACCTTTTTTTGGTTTCGTTTCACTGAGGTTTATTTTGGATGAGATTACATCCTGTTATACTGTAAATCCATCAATCCTGGGTAAAGAAAATAACATTTTTGCAGCTTTTTGTGTCTGTGTTGGACAACAAAGGGCTGTAGAAACTACCTGGGGGGGATATTTATTTATTCATTCATTCATTCATTCATTCATTCATTCATTCATTCATTCTATTTATACCCCGCCTATCTGGTTATTTCAACCACTCTAGGCAATTTGTGCCACATTTGCTTTATCTGCTGAAGGTTTAATCCCTAGAGTCTTCAGTTATAAGGATTGGGTAGTATGTATGGGAAAGTACAGAAAGGTACCTTATCCCAGCCAGGTAGGGGCAGTTTGGTTTTTGAGCTCCATATTATCTTCTCTGGCACCAGGATCTTAGGCACACTTTTATTTTCCTTGCTTCTTTCAAGTGGAAACACCAGTAATTGATCTCAGGACCTTCTGTATTCACAACCTTCCTACCATGTGTTTCTGATCACACATGTGCTTAAACTCCAGAACTTGGGAGAGTTGCTTTTTTAGACCACAAAACCCAGAACATGCCAGCTGGAGAATTCTGGGTTTTGTGATCCAAAAAAGTAGCTGTTCCAAGCTTGGATAAACACGGAGCTGCACAACAGAATTGGAAACACCATGGGTTTGGGCAAAGCTGTGGCATGGATGTAGAATCATGCTTTGTGCTAGGTTACCTGGAAAAGAGGGACACACAGATTGGAGTTGATGGTTCCATAACTGACCAAGCTTAAGCGTGACAACAGTCCTCCCACAAAGAGTATCAGACAAAGAGAGATGGATGGTGGTTCCCAACCTTGGGTCCCCTGATGTTCTTGGACAAAAACTCCCAGGAGCCTTCACCACGAGCTGTGTTGGCCAGGATTTCTGGGATTTGTAGTCAAAGAACATCTGGGGACCCAATGTTGGGAACTACCGGTATATGTATCATATGTAGTATCTATGTTTGGATCTTATTAGCAATGGCAGAGAAAAGGAAAACTGGAAGCCTAGATTAAGATTGTCCAGATGTGAAGGCCACTAAGATCCTGGGGAAATGGTTACAGCTTGGGAAAGTTAGTTCTCAGCTCCCAGCATCCCCCAGCCAGCACGGCTGCTGGTGATACTAGATGTCCATGTGTGGAAGTTCTCATCCAGAGAGATGATTCTCCACGTTTTCTGTTTGTTACTGAAATCATTACACGTTCTTCTCTTATATACCCCAGCCTCCATTTCCTTTCCTTCTTTGGCCCTCTCCTTTGTGTCAGTTTGCTAGATATACACCCATTCTCTTGTTCACCAACACCTGATACTTTAGCCATGTCGTGAACCTGAATAATAAGAATAATTGTTGTTGTTGTGCTGTCATGAAGAAACCTATATGTTTGCTCCAAGGCCAATCCCTAATCTCTGTGGGCGGTTTGTATTGCATGTTGTTCTACTCTGTGAGAATGACTTTTTCAAGCTAGGAGGGGTACTTGGAAGACTGGCCAGTGATGAGACCAGTACAGCTTTAGCTTTGCAAGGAACAGAATTAGTAGATTCTCAGTGATATCAGAAGAGAGAAATATATGTCACTTTTTCAAGAGGAGGGAATGGCCAAAGTCTTCCCATCCAGGTACAGTTAATTGTAATTTCACTGAGGACAGTGGTCGTCTTGCTCCTCATGGGCTCGTGGTTAGAAATCCAAAAGGAGGGAATCACCCATGGGCACATCTTGTCCTCGCCCAACATTCAAAGGTGGAAGCGATACTTCAGTAGAGTGGTTAGAATAGGATGAAGAAGACCTGGGTTCATATCCCGAGTCCAGCTATGAAGCTCCCTGGGTGAGTGTTTTTGAAGGCTTTCATGGCCGGGATCTGATGGTTCTTGTAGGTTTTTGGGCTGTTTGGCCATCTTCTGAAGGTTGTTCTTCCTAAATTTTCGCCAGTCTCTGCGGCCAGCAATTTCAGAGGACAGGAGCTACAACGCTGTCTGTGTTCTAGTGTAGTATGTAGGACTGTTGAGTATTTGTAGCTGTGGGATCAGGTTTTTGTTCTTTTCCGGAGATTGGGTGTTCCCTGTGATCAGGTTGTATATATTTTCCCTGAGCACAGGAAACACCCAGTCTCCTAAAAAGAACAAAAACCTAATCCCAGTGTATATTTTTTCCCTGAGCACAGGAAACACCCAATCTCCTAAAAAGAACAAAAACCTAATCCCACAGTCACAAATACTCAACGACCCCACACACTACACCAGTACACAGACAGATGCCGGCCACAGAGACTGGCGAAACGTTAGGAAGAAAAACCTCCAGAACACAGCCAAACAGCCCGAAAAGCCTACAACAACCGCTCCCTGTCACATTCTTTCACAGCCTAACTTACCTCACAAAGTCCATGTATTCCATTCTGCTTGAAGCAGAGAACAGTGTATGGATTCACAGTGTAAGGGTGAAATGATATTATCTTGCGTTTCTCACTCAAAGGAAACAGCTTCAGAAAAATGGGATAAAAGCACTATTTTAATCTGTGTGAGTAATTAACTGTCTATAAATGGCATCCGCCTTCTTGTTAACCTGCCCTTAATTTGCTGGCTTTGTTCCACCTGTTTAATTTCTGCTTTTCTTTAATTGCTCTGGTAAACTTTTCCCCCCTCTGCAGATTTACCACCACGTGACAGGCAGATATGCGGCTTACTATGACCTGCCTATGGCTTAGACCGGTGACTAATTCATGATACGGGAAAAAAAAGAAAGCAAGAGGATACACGGGGAAGGCTTAAGGGAACAATGTCCCTGAATCTTTTCCTGCAGCCGAGCCCAAGAAGTGCTTATGAAAGGATTAAAAGGGCTAGTGATTCCATTAACCAGTGCCCTGAATTCTAAAGGTAAACGTGGGAAGCTTTGGAGTGCAAAGATTTGCAAAGTTAATTTTGCTGTGGCTCTTTGACTTCCACATTAATTGAAAAGTGGATATCAGGAAATGATGAGCAAATGATGGTTTTAGCTCCTTTTTTTGGTGCATGTGTGGTTATTTCTGTACCTTGACCAGGAAAAGCATAGAAATAAATTACAACGAAGCACAACAGTCCATTCTTGCATCAAAAGATATGTTGTTACTGGCACTTGTGGGGACCGAAGAAGACACAAGTGCACTCATTGAATTACATATCCGAATTCTGAAATAAAGGCAAGTATTTTATGGAGCATCTGCAGAGCAGAAAGTCTGGCCAGTTTTGTGACGGGGGGGGGTTACACTATTTGCACAGTTTTTGCTGCTGCACAAATGGTGATCTCCGTGGAGATCACTTGCTTCTGCTTGCACAGTGATGAAACCTGGCACAAGCAGTGCAGCCCCACATTATCGCACGGGTGGGACTTTCTGCTCAGAAGACCCTCGAGAGGATGCTAGCTGAGAACTGCAACTACAGGGCAAAATTGTTAAAGCCCATATACGCCCCTGCTCTTTGCATTCTGCAGTGAAATTTGGAATAAGTCATTTTAGCAGTTGTATGAATGGGTTTCACATCTAGCTTTTGGCTCTGAGCTGCACCTCCGAAGCCGTCTGTCTTGTTCCTTCAGTTGAGATTTGTACTTCTGGGTATGCATTTACAACAGAATATATATATAGAGCAGAGAAGGAGGCCATCCTCTTCAGAGCTTAAAGGCTGAATTGCAAGCTCCGTTTCTTGAAAATTCATCAAGTCTCTGAAGCAGGTTTTGATCAATTGGATGGGAGACCATTGCTGATCTCCTCTTGCCTTTAAGGAAACAATCATTAGGCCCATTAGAAAGAAACCAAGCTTGGCGGCGGACAACATTGGCAATTATAGGCCCATTGTCAGTGTTTCTTTTCTTAGCAAGGTAGTTGAGAGAGTAGTGGCTGACTAGCTTCAGGCTGTCTTGGATGAAACCGATGCCCTGGATCTGTTTCAGTCAGGCTTCAGGCCGTGCCACGGCACAGAAACAGCATAGGTCGCCCTGCTGGATGACCTGCTTAGGGAGGCCGAAAGGGGCAAAATGCCCTTGCTCATCCTCCTTGATATCTCAGCAACCTTTGATACCATTGACCACAGTATCCTCATGGGGAGGTTCTTTGCGTTGGGAATTGGTGGCCTGGCTCTCACTTGGCTCTGGTCCTTCCTGGAGGGCCGTCCCCAAAGAGTTCAGCTTGGGGAGCATGTATCAGTCCCATGGTGCCTCAGTTGTGAGGTCCCACAGGGTTCGATCATCTCCCTAATGCTGTTTAATATCTATACGAAGCCGTTGGGGGGGGTCATCCAGGGATGTGGAGCTTTGTGTCACCAATATGCTGACTGCTCTCACTTGGCTCTGGTCCTTCCTGGAGGGCCGTCCCCAAAGAGTTCAGCTTGGGGAGAATGTATCAGTCCCATGGTGCCTCAGTTGTGAGGTCCCACAGGGTTCGATCATCTCCCTGTTTAATATCGGTACGAAGCTGTTGGGGGGGTCATCCAGGGATGTGGAGCTTTGTGTCACCAATATGCTGATGACACTCAGCTCTACATCTCCTTTTTTCCATTTGCAGTGGATGCCGTTCCAGCCCTTGGGTGCTGCCTGGAGGCCATTCTTCAATGGATGCAGTTGAAGGGACTAGGGTTGAACCTAGACAAGACGGAGGTCCTGTGGGTGGGAAGCCCAAATGTCAGTGGTTTGTGGAACTCTGAGGCCATTTTGCAAAGGATGCAGTCAAATGGACTAAGGTTGAACCCGGACTACATGGAGGTCCTGCGGATGTGTGGGTCCGATGTCAGTGGTTTGGGGAACTCATTCTCTTTTGGGCGGCTGACTTTCACCACAAAGAATTTGGTTCGCAGTCTGGGAGTCCATCTTGACCCGGCGCTTGCCATGGAGACCCAGGTAGCGTCCGTGGTTCAGTCCGCCCACTTACATCGGTGGATCGCCTAGCTGTGTCCCTATCTAGACACAGGGGCTCTCATCACGCTGGTCCATGTGCTTATAATCTCAAAAATAGATTACTGTAGCGCTCTGTATGTGGGGCTTTGAGACTGATGCAGAAGCTTCAGATGATCCAGAACACGGCGGCCAGGCTATTAACAGGGATGAAAAGATTTCACCATATTTCTCCCACCTTGGCTGCCTTACACTGATTACCTATCCGCTTCCACATTGATTTCAAGGTGCTAACCATTACATACAAAGCCCTTAATGGTTTAGTCCCTCAATACCTGACAGAGTGCCTTCTTCCACCCAGTTCTACCCGTATCACCCGCTCCTGAATTTTGTTTATTATTAGACTGTTATGCGCCTGTGTAAGGGGAGGTAGAGAACAACAATATGTCTTTTGTGAGATACAGAGTACTTTGTAATTAGAACAATGTTGGGGGGAAAAGATTGCTGGCATCCCATCCAGAGAGGGAGGGTATAGATTTGCCTCATATTTTGGAATTTTGGCAGATTGCCTTCTTCCACCCAGTTCTAACCGTATCACCCACTCGAGTCAGGCCAGGCGGCTGGGGGGCCTAATGCCAAGAGAGGTCTGGTGGGAAAAAACAGAAAATCGTACCTTCTTGGCAGTGGCCCCTCGCCTCTGGAACAACTTACCTGTAGAGAAGGCCCTTGCTGAGGGCCTTCAAGACTAACTTGAAGACATGGCTATACTTATCCAAATCTTATCAACTTTGAGAAAATAGTGACATATAATGTGACATATAATGTCACAGCCATTACCTAGCCTATCTCCCATTTTCTTCTTTTTTTCTCTCTTTCTTCTTTTTCTTCTTTTCTTCCTTTCCTATCTTGGAGTCTGTGATTAATCTGGATTTTACCTTAGGGGGTTTTTTAATTTATTTTTTTTAATAACATGAAAACATATTTCCATTGTCATTTGTCATGTTCACTGGGCATACATCAAATTGTTCGTGTCATACCATGTCTCATTTGTCTCTATACCTTATTTCTTTGCTCTAGCCACTCATACATTTTATTCCAGTTTTGATAAAATTCCAATCCTCTTTCCCTTTAATTGTCATTGTCAGTCTACCCCTCTCTGCACAATCTAAAAAATTTTGTACAATTATTTCTTCTAACACAGATTTCTCATTTTTCTAGTATTGAGCCCATACTATCCTCGTCGTAGTCGTTTAGTCGTGTCCGACTCTTCGTGACCCCATGGACCAGAGCACACCAGGCCCTCCTATCATCCACTGCCTCCTGGAGTTGGGTGAAATTCATGTTGGTTGCTTCGCAGACACTGTCCAGCCATCTCATCCTCGGTCGTCCCCTTCTCCTCTTGCCATCACACTTTCCTAACATCAAGGTTTTTTCCAAAGAGTCTTCTCTTCTGTCTGTGTTTAATCTGGATTTTACCTTAGGGTTTTTTATTTATTTATTTATTTAATAACAAATGAAAACATATTTCCATTGTCACTCGTCATGTTCATTGGACATATATCAAATTGTTCGTGTCATATTATGTCTCATTTGTCTCTATACCTTATTTCTTTGCTCTAGCCACTCATACATTTTATTCCAGTTTTGATAAAATTCCAATCCTCTTTCCCTTTAATTGTCATTGTCAGTCTATCCATCTCTGCACTATCTAAGATTTTTTGTACAATTATTTCTTCTAATGGAGATTTCTCATTTTTCCAATATTGAGCCCATACTAATACTATCCTCGTCAATATATGTAATATAATATAGCTGTCTTGTTTGTTAATATTCTCTGGCATAACACCCAATAAAGACAACTCTGGTATGAGTTCTACATTCAATTTCATTATTTTTTTTTTTTCCAAGAGTGTATTTTAATTTAA